TTTTCAGTAACCTAGTGGACGATCACTACGTACAAGTTGCATATCATTACATGGTGTCATCTTGTCTCTGGGCAAACCTTGGGTAATGCTGCATAGTAAGCGCAGCATCTCAAGAAGCTCAATCTCCAGCCACGATGTGATGGTATGTAGTGGTGTGAAGCTCGAGTCAGTTTCCCTGCCCGTTCGTATCGGAGTCTTCATCAGATCTGATGCGCCTTCTTCGCCCCTGCGCCCGCAGAGGGGAATCTGCATTTAGAACCATGCACTGATGCATCACCGACTACACGCTAATTAGCTTGGCGTGAAAGGCCGGATCCTGAGGGTATAATCGGAAAGCGATGATGACACTATGGAATTGGACCGACAAGGGGGCGCATGAACTTCCAGGATCGCTTGATTGAAACTAACTCGTTTTATCGCGACCTGCAGGATCTGAAAACCCGATAGCGATGTACCTGAGCGTTCCGCAACAGCGGGTCGATGAAATGGCGTCAGCGAGCGATCGAGTCGTGTCTGTGGACATGAGATGTCATGTCTGAACCATGGAGCTGCTGCTGTGGCTGCTGCCGCGGCTGACCACTTGTAATTATTCTGAAATCCGCCAGCTGCAAGATAGGACTTGGAGCTCTTCAAGGACGAAGCCAAAATTGAAACTCGGTATGTGGAGGGCATATGAGTATCTCGGCTTAGCCAGTTCATCGGGTATCGTATGACGAATATGAACTGACAGTTCTTGACACCAGCAGCGGTGATTGTGCTACAGCGCTCCTGAATCCTGATCCATCTCTTTGGAACGCATCACCTTGTCCCATGACCGATTCCATCTATTCGTCTCCAGTGATGGTTAGTAAACAGCATCACCGGTCGCGAAGTGGGTATCAGAGTGGTCGGCGAGGTATTTCGATGCGCCCCACCGATCAGAACGTACCGCTCCGTGCTCTTGAGATCTAGGGTACGGCACCTTGTACCCGCCAAAGGATCATGCACAGCGCTCGAAACGGAACCGTGCTAGCTCTAGCGTACCTCTTGTCGCAATAAGGCAGAACACTGTCCACGGACTGAAAGTCCAAGATGGCGGGATGACGGACATCGCAGAGGGGGTAAGAACCTCCTTGACTCAGACCAGATACTGCCATTGTTGTTCCAGATTGGCGAGCTGCTGTGCCTTTGCGCCTTCGGCTTTGAGGGGATTTGATAGGGCGGGCGCATTTCACGACGCCACCAGGGACGCAGTGTGCATTACGCGAAGCCACTCTTCCTGCCGGCCAACACATCCACCAATGAAAGCTGCGCTTTGGGATGTCTGGAGACTCCAGGGTGCCCGCGCTCATTGTGGCGGGCTTCCGAGCGGCATCTCAACGATACTTCGGCAGCTCTTCGGCCCTTCCCAAATACCCAGTCCGCCCCGCTGGCCGCTTCCCCAACTCCAACCAGCAGTTCTCCCACACACACACGATGGGAAAAGAAAAATCAGATCTTGCTCCTTTATTCACGATAGATCCATCGCATGTCTTCGGCCCGTTTCTGACATTCCTCCAGATCTTTATCGGTGAGCCTGCCCGCTTCCGCTTCCGCATTTCGTCAATCTTGCATGACAGCCGTGCCTCTAGATCTCGGTAGCTTGCCATGTACCGACCAACCGAAGTTTCAGGCCGACAGACAGATTTATCAACGGTGCAAGCTGACGCTTCTGGCGCTGGGAATCACTCGACACATATCGTGGCATAACGCGTGGGGTTTTCGGCGAGGCCGTCATGTACGCGCAGCATGCCGACGATGCCAAACCCGCGATCGATGAGCTCCCGCAATAGCCGACGGCAGACGCGCATCACGTAACAGGCCACCTCCATCGATAGAGGTGAGCAAAGCCAGGTACAGACCTGCCACATGATACAGATGTACGCAGTGGCGACAGATTCGACCGGATTCCTATGAAGCTGCAGGAGTGTCGCTTTGGCCGATTCAGGTCGCCTGCCATCCTGGAGGAGTTTCAGGGCACGCCTCATTGACGCGTCTGCACCCTTCTTTCCCAGGAATAGGCCTTCTCTGCATGGCGAACTGCAAAAGAATGGAGCAGATCACTGTGCTGAGATCCCCCTTTCCAAATCGATGTTGATCGCCACCGCCCCCGCCGCCACCGATCGAGGGTTTCCAGCATTACGACGCTGAAATGAAGCTGAACACTCCACCAAGAGCCTATCGCCACTGGAACTTAAATCTTGCTCAGCCTCAGATGGAAGGCCTCATTGCGACTCATTACCGTTTGACACCCATGCCTGTCAGCGTATACGATCAGTTAAGCGCAAGAGATGCAAAGCTGATCGGTGTTCCTGTCTGTCCTGTCGTATTTCCTGCATGCAGCGAAGGCATCTGACTCTCCATTCAGGAACTAAAGTTCGCACTACTTCGCTGCGTACAGATTACTTGTTTCACCCCTCACCATGCTGCTCTAGCGGTCCTCCATATCGAGACTCTCAGTACTAGGGTCTTTGATGAGATATGTGAGAGCCTTTTCATTTCATTCAGATAGATGAACCTAGTGTCAAGGCATACGGTATTACACGTCCCAAAGAGGCACACATCCTGGACTAGATTGCATCGTCTTCCTTCAACTCAGTATCTCAATTTTTCTCATTCGGATTTCAAGTCCTATTTAGGACTCCATTTTAATTTTAATCGCTCACGAAAGTTTCCATTCAAACATTCCCACGATCGTATGCGCGCGATTATTCAATTCTCAATACATAGTTCGAAGACTATCCCATGTGCTCGGCATTCTTTCCCTCTTTGAAGAGGCTACAACCCATCTTCTGGACTAGAACAACAAATGATATGGTCAACTTGTGGGCATCGTCAGCCCTTTGGCTACCACGCGCCAATACATGACTCAAATTAATTCACAGTCTCTACTGCGTCCTGGCTAACTGACTTACACCCGCTACTCTTACGCCTTACTGTCTAGTCTGTAGCTGCTACAATAGCGCTCACTACTACATTTTTCTTGTGGGCATCAATATCAATTTTCATCGAGCGCAAGACTTGCAACTTACCCGCACAAGCGTCTCTGGCGCGCCCAATTTAGGACGCACATTTGACCATCGAAAATGAGAGATCACCGTTGCCAGCGTCCGCAAACTCTAGTATCGCACGAGCAGATCATATGGACCCTGGGCGCATCGCAGTTCTCTTAGTGCCAACATCTGCCATAGTTTTCGTTCAGTCCGGTCTACAAGACTATCCTCGTAGTTGATAATGGAGGCCCACAAGCCGTCTCAAACGACAGGTTACCGTGCAGGCGCCCTACTGACTTCTTCTAGCTTGAAGATAATCATCCATCATGCTTCGTCGTACATCAAGCGACAGGTACGCTAGCAGAGCTACAGGAAGAGATCTGGTTAAAAGCGCAACTGTTGGAACTTTATCCGAGACACACCCGTTATTCCGAAGATAGGACCTGGCAGGACTAAACGCTTGATAGTGGGCACAGTGGCTCTTGTTTAGTAGCACACAAATCTAGCACTGGTAAGACTTTTGCTTACTCAGAACACGCTCGTACATCATGAGACAAAGTCGACTAGTAGTGCTAAGAACCGGAAAGATGCGATCTAGGAAGCCTCACTCTGAGAGAAGTGTTTACTGATCGCTGAAGTCATATGGTCATCACTTACATATATCCAAGACACGATGTTCGTATGCAGAATAGTTTAATGCCCCAACATCTCTCTCCTTCCTATCATCGTTGCAGTTGAAAACACTCATCCTCCATCTCTTTGAAAACCTTCCAAATAACTCATCTTAGGTCGAAAATGCCCACCACCCGTCCGCCCCGACAGAAAGGAACGAACCTATCCACTTTGACCGGTAGCCCTATCAACCGCCGCGCCCGTCAACCACCCTACATCCCCACCTCTCGAGGGATACTCCAACCTAAGCGCCCAACCCAATCTCAACCGCGGAAGCCAACAAGCGACGCTCGAAAACCCACCTTAAACCACCGCTCCATCCCAAACCTCGCTTGCTAGCCCCATCTCTCGAACAATTTGGCTCCAAACAAGCGCAACGACACATGATTGGAACCCGCAGCAGATCTCCGGGGCGCCAGTCAGCTTGACATGACGTCTAGATACAATTTCGCGCCTATTGCTAGCCCGATAAGCTATCGGAGTACTACCTGAGATAGGGCTGACGTCTACCAGCCAAAAAAACGGCGCAAGTGAGGTGTTTGGTACGCTACGGAGATAGCTTGGGGCTTGGAGAGGGCAGGTTAAGCGCGGGGTGGGTTATAGGGCGGGATTATAGGGCAGATAGTCTTGTGATGGCCTTGTGGTAGTTGGTTCCACACGGAGTAGGCGATACACGCTGGGAATCTTGTTGCGACGGGTCGTTTTACGGGGCGGGCGTGAGGTGTAGTTTGGGGTGGGCTGATATGGGGCCACGGGTTTGGTACGGGTCGATCGTCATATGCATAGGGTTTGCGGACCAAGTTGTTGGTTCCTCTCTCCCGAGGTCGAGTAATGCGCGGCTATGTCGAGTAAGTCGGGTAGTTGGTTCTGGATATGTGTATCCGTGGCGGTTGGTGGTGGTTGCAAAGTTGGAGTCTGGTGGAGGAACTTCCTGTCTCTGATGATTGCAATTGCTCTTATTCGAGAATCATCTTGTGTGTAAGAAAGTAATGTGTTTCGACAATTGTGAGTAGCTCGCTGCTCGCTTTAGGTTATCGCAGTACCAGTAGGTAACGTAGGTGGAAATTAAAGAGCGACATCTTTCATAGAATGACTTGTACGAGATGTGTTGCTTGGTTTTACGCCGCACAAGCATGGCTTACAGTTGCATAATATAGAGTCTCGTGTGTGTGTAACAGCGGGCTAATTCATAAATCACCACCAGTGTTGATATGAATATCTTATCTGTTTATAGTGAACTACTATTACATCGCCTTCCGATGAAAGAGGATTGACAGAGATGATATCCTTATGAGTCCTCTCTAGATTGTCCGCTCCCTACTTCACCCCTAATAAAGCCCACATCTTCATGATGCCTGAGAGAATTAGCTCTCTAAAAACATTAGGCTGTGGTACACCCTCTCCATTCACATCAACAATGCCATCCCTTGCTGACACTGTCTTCCACTCCGCATCCGAAATCTCTCTGACCTGCCAAAGCGGATTGATACCCACCCTGGGTGTTCCAGTTAGATAAGCTACAATTGGAATCCGCAATGCAATCAAGACATCGTTGGGGCCGAATCCACTAAGTTGCAATTCGAAGCCATCTCTCGCCCGATCCGCCAGCCACGTATTGAAGTTCAAGTCGCCGACGAGATCTGCTGGTGACCCAGGACGATAACGAACGGTGATCACTGTCTTTGTAGTGTATCGGCGTCGTCGGACCTCAAGACATTTTCTGTAGAACTCGACAATGGTGGCATGTTCTTTGGAGCCGCGTAAGAAGATATGGAATTGCGGATCGTAAGTGCATCCTATGTCGAAATGGCGCGGGATCCAGGTTTCAGGATCTTTGCTAGCACAAAGGCTGTACCAATCCTCTGTGATTTCGTCATACTCATGTATCTTGAGAATCGTGCCAATGCTGCGATAATTGTTAACGAAGCTGTGAAGGCTTGTCGAGTCGATGATGAAATGTGAGGGTTCATCACGTAGCGTCTCTAGCTTGGGGGCAAGGAAAGGTGCTGCTTCTTCATGAATGAGACGGCAGGTAGCTAGTAGGGCTACTGGGAGGCTCTTCACAGCAAGCGTCATGTATGATGCTTGAGTCGTTTGCTCCTCAGATTCAGGCTTGAATGTTGGATCCCTGAGTCGATAGTGGCATGTCGAGGTCTCGATCTCCTCGTAGACCATGAATCGTAGTTCTGCGGGAAGGTCTAGGAACCGGAACGGCTTGTCTTGCGTAAGTGAGCAGGCTGGTTGGGAAGAAGATAGTAATGTATCCATAGTGCTGGATTGAAAGTAGCTTGAGTTGGAGCTTTGTTGGTTCAGTCCGCTTGACATGGTGGACCAATCTTAGTGAGTTGATTTCGTAGTAGAAAGAGTGTGAGGTCGTTGTAGAGCAAAGACCGAGAGCTTTGGCAATTTTTGTTGCCTTCCTCCTCTCTCTGTGAAAGCGCGTTATCAGTCCCGGTAAACAGGCTCAGTGACAGTTCGTCCGCGACATTCACTGTGTTTTACGCGTGAAGCGAAGCTCGTATTTCCTGAGTCGTGCGCTGGCATCCGATGGGTCTCTCGTATCTCTCCATCCAGTCCCTCGTCTTCACCTCCACGAATCTTCAATGATCCACGAAACATATACGCGAGTGCGTCCACAACACTCGAAAACAATATCGTTCGTTTCGTATAATTCATATTGGGTATCTCGTCATCTCACCTCTTCCCCTTCTTCGCACCCCCTTTCCCACCCTTCCCTTTCTTCCCACTCCCCGTAATACTCAACACATCCTTCTTACTCAAACTCAGCGTACCCCCCCTAAACTTGCCTATACTAGGCCCGCCAACCCCCCTCTCCCTCTTCTTCTCCGGCCCCTTCTTAACCACCCTATTCTCCCTCTCTAGAACAATATCCGCTTCCTTTGCATCCGCGCGCCTCTTCTCTTCCGTCGTCCGCGCTTTGTCTATCATGTGTTTGCGCTGTGCCATGGGCATCTTCTTCTGTGTGAAGATGGAGCCTTTGGCGCCGAGCGCTTGGAGGTGCAGGTCTTGTGATTTGTGGCGTGCGGCGCCGGTTGCGACGAGGGTGGGTGTGGAGGTGCCCGAGGAGGAGGCGGAGAGGAGGTGGGATTCGCGGAGGAGGCGTTGGAGGGCCATGTCGTTTTTTAGCATGGAGGATTCGTTGGAGTCGGCGTCGTCTTGTTTCTTCTTGGTTGTGGTGTTCTTTGACGCGGTGGATGCTGAGGTGGGCGGTTTCGACGACATGAAGGCTTTCATTTCTGCTCGTTCCGTCTCGTCGAGTTCGCCCGTTGGGTCTTGGTACTCGATGACTTCGACGTCATTTTCGTTGTCGCTTATGCCTGACCAGTCCGATTCCTCTTCCTCCTCTGCTTCATCTTCCACGGGCGCTTCCTCAATTTTCGGCTTCTTGGGCTCTACGGGCAGAGGCTTGAACTTTGCTTCGAATGCGCGCCGGAATATCGCCTGGAGATCTTCTGCGCCGGAGTCGTCGCCCGAGCCGGAAGAGGGAGAAGGTGATGGCGACGGTTGTTCGAGTTCTTTACGCGTTACGCGCTTCCGTTTTCCAAGTGCGGGCGCCATTATCGTGTCGTTGTGCTGGGCTGTGCTGAGCGCAAGCCGGGGCGGTCCAAAAGTTCAACCTGGGAAATTCTTAGCGCCAAATGCTCGCTCGGACCTCCGTCTTTCACTCGACCCCTCCCCCGCAACACCACCATCACCACATATACATACCGCAAGATGACGCGTTTCCGCCCTTGTATAGACCTACACGCCGGAAGCGTCAAGCAAATCGTTGGCGGAACGCTCAACACCACAACTCCCGATGTCCTAAAGACAAACTGGACCTCCGAGCACCCTTCCGCTTTCTACGCCGACCTATACAAACAACATGACCTAACAGGCGCGCACGTCATAATGCTCGGCCCAGGAAACGATCAAGCAGCGCAAGAAGCGTTGGAAGCATGGAAAGGCGGCATGCAAGTTGGCGGCGGGATTACAGAGAAGAACGCGGCGGAATGGATTGAACGAGGCGCGGACAAGGTGAGCTTTGCTTTAAAACAACACACACACACTATGATAAAAGGTAGATAAACTAATCGACGCGCAGTAGGTAATCATAACATCGTACCTCTTCCCCTCCTCCACCTTCTCCATGGACCGCCTCCGCGCCGTCCTCCAAGCCCTCGACAACGACAAAACAAAACTCGTCATCGACCTCTCCTGTAGAAGGAAAGACGACAAGTGGTTCGTTGCGACGAACAAGTGGCAGACCATTACCGACTTTGAGTTAAACCAAGGTACATACACCACACCCCTTCTTTACAATCCTAGAAAAACACCTAACAAACACAAATAGAATCGATATCCCTCCTGGAACCCCACTGCAGCGAGTTCCTCATCCACGCCGCCGACGTCGAAGGCCTACAACGCGGTATCGACCACGAACTCGTTACCAAGCTGGCAGAATGGTGCAGCATACCCGTCACGTATGCCGGTGGAGGCCGCTCGATTGAAGATTTGGAATTGGTGAAGGAGCTGAGCAAGGGCAAGGTGGATCTTACCATCGGCAGCGCACTGGATATCTTTGGCGGTTCGAGCGTCAAGTTCCAGGACTGCGTCAAGTGGAACGCGGAGCAGGCATAAGTGAGCAGGTCGTATGATCGGACAAGACTCCGATGGCTGCCACATTACTCGTAGGGGTGGAATTCGGGATACACATTGGATTGGTGACTCTGCATAGCTGAGAAGGCCATTTACATCATTCCATCACACCAAACAAACCGCACCAAAATGAATGCAAACAATCACATTCTTCCCCCTCTCAGCCCATCAAACTGCCCTTTTATCTAGAGGCAGACGAGCCAAACTAAGCTTTCACTAGCTACAATAGCCATGCATGCATGCATCAAACTCCACTTTGAAAAGAAAAGAAAATCCCCCCTGGAACCCCAAAATCGTGTTACTCAATCAAGCATCTTAAAACCATGGGAGGAAAAGCCGCGCCCAAATGTGGTGTGGTGGGGCGACGAAAAACCGTGTAAGCGCGCAATTGAAATGCCTGGAATGGAATCTTTCTTCAATCTTCTTTCGTCCAGGTCTTTGCAAGTTATACAGTGAGGCAATAAACGACATGTAGAGAAGGTATAAGGTGGTTCGATGTCAAGCGTCGTGGTTGTGGACGTGCGTTGTCATCTGGTACTGTTAGTAGATGCTCAATGTACGGTGTGTAGTGGTGCAACTTACGTTCTTCAGACGCCAGCTCGTGGTGTGCCAACTGCACTTGTCATTGTGCTAAGACCACCGTGCACGCTGCCACCGTCGTCGTAATCTTGCCATTCTGGGAACTCCGCCGTTGCTTCACGGAGCTTGTCAAGTGCGGTCTGTTCGATGAGGTTGGCGTCTTGGAAGAGCAGCGATGTGTCCTCATTGTATGTGCGACAGTTGTTACACAACAAGCCAAGGTCTTGACGGAATTGCTTTACAGACTGGTACTCCTTCTTGTTGATCTTCTTCTCGATCTGCTTCATGCAGATGGGGTTCTTGATCAGCTGGTAGTAGTCTGGGTAGTCCCACTTGTCCGGCAGTTCGATGAATGGGTCGATGATACCGCGATTGGGAATGTTCGGGTCTTGCGACTCCTCTTCCAGATCGTTGAGAGCTTCGTAAACAACATTGACGACCTTCTGAAGCGACGCTCGCTGGTCAGGAAGCAACATGTCCTTGGCTGGAGCAGGTCGACCGCGCTTCCGAGGTGCGAGGTCAACGTCGAGGGAGGCTTCGTCAGCTTTGCGCTTTTCAGCCTTGGGTTTACGACCTCGCTTCTTCGGCATAGGTTCTTCTGAACTAGCACGTGAAGGAACAGGCGAATCCTCGTCACGCGCTCCGCCACTCTTCCTACCCCGCTTGGCGACCTTAGCTTCTTTGCGAGCGATAGCAGCCTCAATGGTGTCCTCGTCGTTGTCGACAGCCTCCAACCATTGCTCTTCGGTAAGACCGTCATCATACTTGACGCGGGTACGTTCTCGAGCGCCACGACCAGCTGGTGTGTCATCCTTCTCGTCGACAATGGGCGCCTCTTCGTTAAGGTAGATGTCGGGTAACTCGCTCTCACCGATCAAGCGACCGAGCGGCTTACCTGGACCATATGGATCTTCAGCCGCACGCTTCCTATCCATCTCCTGGAATGTTATCAGCTCATGGTCGTGACGCATCATGATCTGGTTCAGGTCGTCATCGTCCATCTCCTCTTGTTCAAGGCTCTCAGCCGCTTCAGCAGACTCCAACATGATACGCAACATGGCGTCTCGCTCGTCATCCTTGGACTTGTTGTCGAATTTACCAGCTTGGATGACCTTGCCGTCCATGTCCAACTTGTAGTTGGCTCGCTCGAGAATCTTCTCTTCAACCGAGTTGGAAGTGATAAGACGCAGAATGCGGACCTCGTTCTTCTGACCAATACGATGAGCACGATCCTGGGCTTGTAAATCCTGGTGAGGATTCCAATCTGAGTCGTAAATGATGACTGTATCGGCAGTTTGCAGGTTCAGTCCAAGACCACCGGCACGCGTTGAAAGCAGGAAGCAGAAGTATGGTGAGTCGGGAGCGTTGAACAACCTCAGTAGATCGGATCGGTCATCTGCTTTGGTCGCTCCGTCCAGACGCAGGTACATCATACCTCGCAACCGTAAGTAGTCCTCCATGATGTTCATAATTTGTGTCATCTGGAAGAACATGAGGACACGATGGCCTGTAGCCTGGAACTTAGGTAGAATGCGGTCAAGCAATTCGAATTTGCCGGCCGCACGCCATAGGAGATCGTTGGTGCCCTTGGTTGGATTCATGACGTCCTCAACCTCTTCGAACACGAACGGATGGTTACACAGCTTACGCAACTGCATCAACATGTTGCTCAAACCGCGCATACCAGTCTTTCCGCCCTTGCCGTCGCTGACCATGAGTCGATTGTGTGTAACAAGTTGCTTGTACAGCTTCGCCTGAAGAGTTGAGAAGTTGCACTTGATCACACGCTCGGTCTTGTCGGGAAGATCCTTCTCGACATCGCGCTTGAGACGACGGAGCAAGAAAGGCCTGAGCACCTTATGAAGACGACGAATGACGAGTAACTGCTCTTCTTCTGTAAGCTCCATCTTGTCTTGACCTCCAGTATTGGCGAAGGGAGTGTTGAACCACTCGTCGAAGGAAGTGGCTGACTTGAAGATCGTAGGTAGAACGAAGTTCAGCATAGCCCACAGTTCCGTGAGGTTGTTTTGCAGTGGGGTACCGGTAAGAATAAGACGATAACGCGTTGTGTAGTACTGTGTGATGGT